CACTCAATCCCCCCACCCCCACCCCCCCACCCTTGGACACGACCTCTCCTCAAGCAAGCAACGGTCCTTCCTGGTCATGTACAAACAATTGTTTTCCCACGGCTTCATGATATCCAGACCGTCTCGGATGGTCTGGTGCAATTGGAAGGCAGGCGGCGGCGGCGGGAGGGAGCGGTAACGGGTATGTCGTCAGCTATGGAGCACAACAGTAACTGCACCGAAGTGGGCATCACGCCAAAGAGAGAAAAAAACAGACCCTCGACGGGGATGGGGGGCGCCGTCGATGGACTAAATACGCGAACACCGATTTTGGGGGGTCGATTGTTTCCGCCAAGTACAAAGCATTAAACCGTTCTTGTTCGGTCACATGGCGCATGCGTAGCCGAGACCGTGTGGAGGATGGTTGGCGCCACAGCTACTGTACCCCTATCGTCATGCACCACCGCGCTCAATCGATCCAGACAAGAAGAGGCACAGGACCTCTCGTTTTCGCCGACGAGGGCGGGGTGTCACAACACACACCACGGCCACGGGCCCTTCACGCAAACGACAAAACAATCAAACCAGGTCCGAGCCGAGCTGAGGCTGCCTTCGGTAAACTAAAATCCTTGCGGTGCCTCACCTGAGATTTAGCTTGAAGCTAATCTTCTCCTCCACCTCCGCCACCTCCCGTCGGTTCGCGGGGTGGACGTGAACCAACCCCGCTTTACGTTCCTGCAGGCCGGAAGAATCGGTCCGTAGTGTGGGCCGTGGACAGGGAGGGGGGGGGGGGGTGATGGTCCGCCTCAGGGATGGGAGGGGTGGCAAAAATGCGGCGTCAACAGCATAAGACGAGAGCATGAGCGGGCGCGGTTTTGCAAAGTTTCCTTCCGACTCAACAAGCCGGACTTATCGGAGGGACCACATAAACGTTAACATCGTGCTACTCATCGTACACCAGGCCGGCTTCGATGCTGCTGTGCCTCGCTTCACTTTCCCAGGGCTGTTTGTGGCTCCCTCCCTCCTTTCTTTCATCACGCTCACGCACCTCCACAACCATGTCCGCCATGGCGTAGTCCTGCCTCGCCATGCACTCGTACAGGATTGCGAGGTACAGCGTGGAGCTGTACTCCCACTTCTTCTCGAGCACGATGTCCTTCGTTTTCATCAAAAATCTGCTCGGGTTTGACGAGCAATAACAGGAGCAAGGACAGCACATTCACCACCACGGACGGTGGCCAGGGCAGCACGGGGGAGGGGGGGTACTCATGTTGTGCATGCCTGCGGCGCAACGGCGACCATCTGCATATTCCCAACCAGTGCCTCTCTCGCGTAATGGTTCCTCATCCCAATCACCATTTCCCATTCTCATCCTCATGCTTCGTCTCACGTTAGCCGTGGCCAAGCAGCAACCTCGGTGCCGTCGTACCCTCGAGGAACCTGTCATCATTTATGCCACGTGACACAGGCAGCACAGGGGAAAGGCCACGGAAGCGGGAGGGTTGTCTCCGTTTAGTCTATTGTATTCGACAAGCCGTGAGGAGGTAATAAACACGAGGGGCATGGATAGTGCGACCCCGTTGACTTCCGGAACCAAATAAGCCAACAAGCCAACAAGCTGTCTACAGCCATTTGCGAACGCACCAAACACAAAGGATGCATCGGTAACCAAACAAGCCAAGCCCTATGCAACCATGCGCGGACCCACCAAACACAAAGGATGCATCGGCAACCAAACAAGCCAACAAGCTGTATGCAACAACCATGTGCGGCGATCGCACCAAGCACAAGGATGCATCCTATCTCGGGACAAGAAAAAAAAACGCCGACCCCGAGGTAAAACCAACCAAAAACCGCGAGCACCTCGGAGACGGCGTTGAAGGTGTTGTAGTCGAAGCGGATACCCCTCCCTCGCTTGCCCTGGTGCACCATACGCGTGATAGCCTGCGAGGCCTTGTCGAACTCCCCCGCAAGCACGCACTCCTTGATGAGGTGGTTGAACGCGATCTTGTTGTCTTGGCCAGATTTGCCCATCGCCTGCAAACGACAGAAAGAAGAAGAACGAAAAACGAATCGAAGCTGCTGTATTGAGAAGCGCATGTGTCAAGTGCCTCGAAGAGAAGAAATAAAAAAAGCTCCGAAATGCGAGACAGTTAGTGGCTCGAACGCACACGGAAACTGGCGACACAACACCACCGTCGGGTTTTCCTGGACAAAAAAAAAAAGGTCAACCAAGCTGCAATAAACAGTGCTCATAACGATGGCGTTTTGTTGAACATGAATACAAAAACGGTTACCGGCGTACCGGCAAAGAGAGAACGCATTTGTGCGATTCAAGGTCGCCGGAAAAACATCAAAAACCGGCCCGTTTTCCATTGTTTACAAACACGTCCGCAGTGAAACCGACCCCCAACTCTGCACGCCTTGCTCACGTCTTGAAACCCGATCCCCAGCTCTTTTACACGCCTTTGCATACGTCTTGAAAACCGATCCCCCAACTCTGCACGCACGAACTTACCGCGATGGAGTGAAACGCCTCGTCGAAGTCTCCCATCATGGCGTGCGCCTGTACGAGGAGCGTGGCGATAACCTCGTCCGTAGGGACGGCCCCGTTCTTGGTCAGCTGGCGGTGCACCTGAAAGGCTGTCTTGGGTTGTCCCCCCTTGATGCACGCCTGCCAACGCCACCACAAACGCCACCCACCCGTCCGCACACAAGCAGAACAAAAAAAAAAAAAAACGAGAAACAGAGAGCAGAAAGTTGCAGTGGAAAGGAGGCGTGGGGGGTCCAACCGAGGATTAGCAGAGAAGGCGCGTGGTGTGTGAGGGGTATGGGTTTGGTCCGTGGGGGGTCGAAGGGTTAGCAGAGAAGGCGCATCGAGTGCGCGGGGTGTGGGTTCGGTTTCTTTCTTGGTGGAACGGCAACCAAACACCAACACGCTTCGGCGGAAAATCTGCTGCTGAGGGGCAGAGCACATCGCGCCCCGCGAATCCAAGCTAAATTTTGCCCCCCGCCCTCCCCCCCCCGCGTTCTTGGTCGTATTTTTCGGAATAATTAGCGTGGATCGTGTCATCAGGTGGATGTATCGATCATGGACATACCGCATATGACTCAAGATAACACACCCCCTGGACCGATTTTCAAAGCTCGATTACTCCACGACGAAGAGGATGCATAAACGAAACAATACATTTTCGAAAACCTCTCGACGAGACGGTTCCAACGCCGCCGTTTTCGGCACTGTGACTCTTCCTGCTGTTGAGAAATCGAGCTTTGAAAATCGGCCCAGGGGGTGTGTTATCTTGTGTCATATACGGTAATCCGTTCGCGTATGTCGATGTGTGCCTGCACGAGCGACTGGAGGGTCGAGCTTCAGTCTTACCCTTTCTGTCGCATCATCTAATGTCAATACACAAAATACTGTATATATCCCCGCTTGCGTGCTACCTATTGGCCGTCATGCCTCCCCATACCACGCTGCTGCGCCTCGTCATGACAACAACACCAAAAGGTACTTCGAACGAAAAAAAAGTCAAATGACCCGCCGACCGATTCCTTGCGAATTACCTGCATGACCGATGAGAGTGTGAAACGGTTTGGCTTGACCCCGCTCTTGGACATGTCCGACAGGGTCTTGACGGCGTTCTCCACGTCGCCGAGCCGAGCGTAGGCAGTCACGAGGCTCGAGTACGTGTACACGTCGGGCGCCATGCCCCCGACCTCCATCATCTCGTCGTACAGCTCTAGCGTGCTGCGGTGGGGGTATCACAGACGCCAATCCAATCGCAATCGCGCGGGGTGGGTGCAAGAACGGGAGGCACACGAGGGGGGCGGGGGGCGTGAATGACGAGAGAGCGGAAACACGAGGGTACGCGCAGCACGCAATAGTGCTGCTGCTGCTACTACTGCTGCTGCTGCTGCTGTGTCGTTCTTCTCGACATGGCGTGTCTGGTGAAATTTCTCAACGCTGTTCACATACCTACTGCCACCAAACACCCATCATATCCCGCCTCTCGGCCCCCGACATTCGGGCACGCACATTGCTGTGCCCCCCCTGAGGGCACATCAGACCGTACTTGTACTTCTACTATACTGCGATACCCCCCCCTCCCCCCCCCCCGTTGTTATGCCGACAACTACTCCTACTCACACGGCGGGAACGTGGGCCTTGTTCAGGCCCGCCATGAGGGTGTTGAAAGTCAGGAGGTTAGGCTTGACGTTGTGGTACCGCATGCCCCGGAAGAGGTCCATCGCCTTCTCCCACTCCAGTGTCTTCATCAGCCCCTGCGTCACGTCACACCATGGCCGTGTTCGTTATCGTTGGCATCGCGCACGAGACCACCCACCAAGTCAGGCCGCGGGTGAAAGAACGTCGCAATTAATGAGAGCACAGCACAAGTTGCTATAGGCCTCAACAGGCGCCAGGCACAGTACCCCAACAAGTCACACACGACAAAAGACGATTCAATTGTACATGGACACGAGGTCGCCGCATCACCGATCTGTACTAAAGTGAAAAGACTGGAAAATGAAAGGTAATGAACCTAACATCAGCATCACTCGGTGCGCGCGCAGCCAGCCACACAGACAGACGGACAACCAGGTCGATACAAACACGCACACAAACGTTAGGTGTGCTGACTGTGTTCCTGACGGTTCTTCGCGTCTCGGTCGACGAACGCACACAATCGAACGCACACAATCGACACCAAACCGTAAACGCAAAAAACACAACACAAGGAAGGCACACCTTGATGATGGTGTTGAACGGGAAGGCGTCGAGCTTGTCCCGAAGGTTCGACACCTTCATCATCTCGATCAGGGTCCGCGCCCCGGCGTCCACGTCTCCGCTTCCCACTTGGGCCTTCACCACGATGGTTGTCGTCACCACGTCGGGTGCGATCCCTTCTCCCTGCACAACAAACAGCGTGCGTACCACAACAAGCGTGTTAGGAGGGTCTAAACAACCATGAAGGCATTTCTTCGGCATGCAGGCCGGGAATGGGGGCTTCGTGTGCTCATTGGGAGCCCCCCCCCCGCCCCCCCGCCCCCCCACCCCGTCTGTCCGCTCAAGTATGGCTTCAGACGTAAGAAACAAGCTTTCAGGTGTGCTAGAAAAGTTTTCTCCAGCCCCCGTAACTCCAGCACGAGATGGACAGGCTTCGTCGGGCTGCCCTACCCTTGTTAGCGCTTGATTCGCGGGAGGGAGGAGATTCATGTGCGGGAAACAGAGCACA